CGTTCTCCTCTGAGTCCTCTTTGTTCCCTTCTTGGCACTGCCCTCTGCTCAGGGCTCCTGGCCTGTCTTGGCCTTCCCCAACAGCACAGACACTTGGTCTTCAGCCTACCAGCACGAGGGACTGTCCCAAAGCAGAAGGAAGCGGAGGAGGAAAGGCGCCTAAGAAATGAAATTGGTGCGTGCTTCCTTTTCACTGTAATCCAGAGTGTGCCTGCAGATCGCAGACACACGGTGTGCGGTCCCTGGTGCTGGATGACAAGGGCAGAGGTGTGATTCTGATGAGAGGCCACCGGCAGGTGGGGATGGGGCTGGGACTGTGATGGACCGGGCGTGGTGCCCACCTTCCTGGCCACGTACCCAGGCAGTGACTGTGGGAAGCATGGTGCTGGCAGAGCCTGGAATCATGAGAACTTGACACTCATGTTAGTGATGCCTGGGCAACGGCAAACCATCTCCAAGATGTGACAGTTCTGCAGAAATACACTGGCCACTGTGTTCCACCAGCCACAAAAGCCTCAGTGTCTGTGAGCTGGCATTGGGACCTACTGCCTTTCCCTCGCAGTTTCCGTTCTTCTGGGGGTGACCCTAGCTCTTTTCTCCCCAGTGCAAAAACAAAACAGAAAACCAGCTATGGAGGCAGCCTGTCTGGGTTTGAACCCTCACTCTGCATACAACAGCCCGCCACTTACAGACCATCTGGTGCCATTCCATAGGGTTTCACTCTAGGAAGCAGATCACCAGGCCTTTCTTACTAGTCTCACTGAGTCTGGAAGCTCCATTGAAACCTGTGTAGCCTCATAGCAAAGCCCAGGCCTCCACTGACAGCTGGGTGGTGGCTGCACATAAAGTGCATTGGCCAGGAATCGAACCAAGGTCTTCCACATTCTACTACTGAAAGAAACCGCAGTGTTTCTTTGCCTGGGTAAAACAGAGTTAACACCCACCCCACACATCCCTTATCAGACTTGAATAAGAGAAAATGTATCAAGGGCTTAGCGCCCAGTATTCCATGAATAAGCCCACTGTTGCTTATGTCTGGGTTATTTTTGCCCTCACCTGGGTTTTGACTACCAATTATGGCGAACGATTTGATCCACAAACAAGTGGCTTCAACTCCCTTTTGAGAAGAAGAGTCTTTTTAAATAGCAAACCAATATTTATTGCGCACTCTGGGAGTTCAGGTGACTAGAGAGCCTCCTGGAGCCTGGTGGTTTCCGTTGTCCCTGTTCAGCGAAGCTAGTGGCTACTTGAGAAGTTCTCCAGATGAGACGTGCTAGTTCTGGATCTGGTGCTGCAGGGGAAAATAGGCACAGCCTGCCAGTGGTCTGTGTGGGCAGGAGCAAGGGGCTCATGAGTCATTGAGCTCAGACAGCTAGCACCTTCCTGGAAGCTCTTCGTTCTGTGCACAATGATGATGTAGTCAGGAGGGAGAGGCAGCTCAGGGGGCCTTGCTTCATTTGGGGACAGACGCTTGCATCAAGGAAATGAATAGATGGACTCCCTCAAAGAAAGCAACACAGAAACAAAACCCATTACCCGCGAGGTGATTCCATCTCAGGGGGAGCCCTGACGCTACACAGTAGAACTCTGAGTTCCGACAGATAGTGGTGGCGGAGTGGGTGACCCGTTGGGCTCCTAACTGAAAAGTCAGCAGTTCAAAACCACCAGCAGCTCTGCAGGAGAAAGAGGAGACTTTCTACTCGTGTAAAGCTACAGTCTCAGAAACCCACAGGGGCAGATCTACCCTGTCCCATAAGGTTGCTATGAGTCGGCATCACCTCACTCAAACTTGTGAATTTGAGTTTTTGGAATCTTTGTGGCGCAAACCTTGAGGCACCTTTCACAGCATTTCCAACTGCCGACCTCCCAGTTGACCAAACCCCCAGTCATTGAGTCGATCCTTAGATCATTTCCAAGGCTCTGTAAATCTGACGGGAACAAACAGCCTTGTCTTTCTCCCATGAAGATGCTGGTGGATTTGAGCTACCAAAGTTGGGGTTGGCAGTTCAGCTCACATCATCATTCTCAAAACATTTGCTTTCTACTTGAGCCCTTGGTATCAGTTCCACATTTTTTTCATTTTATTAGGGGCTCATACAACTCTTATCACAATCCATACATACATCAATTGTGTAAAACGCATTTGTACATTCATTT